TACACTTCTCTCCGCCATCGTGGCCGGGCATCGAGTGGCGTTCGATATTATCACAGGAAAGTCACAGGCAGCGTGACCAATGTCCTAGGAAATTTCCACGCTCCTTTCCCTCCCAATCGATTTTACAGGTTCCGCGTAGTAATGGTGGTGGTGGTATTGGCTAGATCGAGTTAACGCGCTTGCAAACAACAACGGTCTCGATTGTGATTCGTTACGGTGATTAATGCTCGTTTATTTGGAACGATCGATTGGAAGTGGAGATAGTTTGTTAAGGAGGGATTTTCACGTCTCACGACTGGAAACTTGAACTTTTATTAACTTTCGTTAGCTTTTCTTTACGTTGATTTTTCGTTTGGACGCGTCTATAAACCACCAAGATTTCGACTCCTCCCTTCGAGTTGTCCAAGTTTTAAATAAGTTTATAACGGTGCCAGGTGTAAAGGGAAACTTAAACGTTAAAGTGTGTTTAACTTCTGTACTCTATTATCCTATGGTAAATTTATAGGAAATATTAGAAATCCAAATATTGAAACGATTAACTGTTTAAAAATATTAGATCTTGTGCGAGGTTAAGCAAAAACTTAAATCTGTGTACTGAAACGTTTAACTTTTGTATTCTATTATCCTGTAATATACAAATTTATACGAAATATTAGAAATTTACATTAAAAGAATTAACTTAACCCTCTATTCTATTCCGTTCTCAATTGGACTTAAAATTTCATGCATCGCAAGCAAAATACATACAGGGATGCAACACGATGTTTTATGGAAAAATATGCGTATGTATAAAATTCCCATGCATAGGGACAGTCGTGAAATCCAATGAATAACGTTTCCTGATAAAATTTTATTATTTATTTCATGATCATACTCATTTTTTAAGTCCAATTTTTAAGATCAACATAACCTTATATATATATAAAAATTCGTCATAAAAATTCACGCAACAATTTTTTTTAAATTTAAAAGATTAACTTCTTCAAAAAACTGTAAAAAGAAACCTCTTAACTTAAAATAAATCAAAGAGAAGAAACGTTGGGAACGAGCAAGTAACGCGAAGGAACGAAGAAGTTCTTTCCTTCTGTTCAAACCTATAAACTCTCCCTCATCTGTCGCAATAACTTCTCTTATTAACAATCCAGAAGAGAGAGAGAGAAAGAGAGAGAATTACGCGTAAAAACGCGGCTGGCGGGAAGTTGGCACGATCCAACCATGACGTCGTCGTCGTCGTCGTCTACCCAGCCTTCAACGGAATGGTGATACGTTTTACG